CATGAACATAAACAGTTCATATGGGCGGCTTATCTGACGGCCCCATTTCACTCGCAAAGAGATACACTGTCAAAAGCGAAAATGGATGTTTTTGATTTTTTTTGTCTTAATAATGAGTAATTGCTCCACCAATCCTCAGACATTCGGCAATTTGTTGTGGCATGCTCCTCATCACGATTTGGGGCAATCTGACCAACTCTTCTTGCAGTGCCACGGCCAATTCTTGCAGTGTTGTCAGTTGCCGTTGACGAACACGTCTCCCGATCATGTCCCAGACATGCTCTATTGGGGAAAGGTCAGGACTCATGGCTGGCCAAGGCATATGGACAACATGGTGACGCTGGAGCTTGTCATTTACGACACGAGCGTAGTGGGAACGGGCATTATCATCTTGAAAGATGAAACGTCGACCTGCATGTAGAGCAAAGGGCCGAACTATCGGTGCCAGGATGTGGTCACGGTAGTACACACCAGTGATCCTTCCTTGGACAATATGCAAGTCCGTTCTGCCTGTCATGATGATTCCTCCCCAAACCATAACAGACCCACGCCTGAATCTGTCATGCTGTCCTGACGTTAATGTTAGAATGGCGCTCATTTACACGCCTCCAAACGCGAGCGCACCTATCGGTGAAATCCAGAGTAAATCTGACTCATCTGAGAACATTACACACGCCCATCGACAATTACCCCAATTTCTACGTCGTCTACTCCATGGACGCCTGTTTGCCATGTGCTGGCGAGTTAATGTGTAGAACCCATTTGAAGCATGCCAATAGCACGTAGACGTTCATCATGTTGAACTGTTGAAGACGTCTCATTGCAAATTAAACATAACACACTAAAGCAAAGATACACTAAACAGTAAATCTTATGCAAGAACATATAGGAAAGCAAACATGGATAGGATAAACCAGCACGCGGCAGTTTTCATCAACTCTTCCTTGAAGTGTCAAATTTGACAATGAACCCCTCCCACGTGCATGGCGCTATTGCGTGTCGCATGTGCAGCTCAGTGGTTCTGTTGGGGCGATAAGTTCTTCATCTGTGAACATACTCTCAAAGCATGTCAAATGTCCATGACTATTTATCATATCACAACCTGCATAGGTATTTGCATTTCAATATCCCCTACTTTTTTAAAGCGTATATATATTATTTCTCAAGCCAAAAAGTACACCATCTGACAAACTACCAGGAAAACTCATCTGACTAACATCAAGCCACAAGTTACATCATCTAAATATTATCTCACAAGTCAAAGACAAACCATCTGATAAAGACTCCTACTGAAAAATGTGTCAATTTGTGTGATGCTAAAATTTAAATTTTTCAGATAATATCTTATGTCATGTCATATGAGAAATCAACACTTATTGTCATCTTCTCAAAAATAAGAAGATTAAAAGATTAACTCAAATAAGCTCATTAAAACTTAATGTCACCAAATTGTTTTATCAATCAAAAATATAATCCCAATAGTGTTTTTCTTTTAAAAAAACCCAAAATATCTGAGCTTAGCTGTTCCATATTTGGCAACTAGATTTAAACTGACAAAACCAGAACTGGAGTTGTCACATAATATAATCTACACTATACTGTATATCCCTTTGCGGTCCCATGACAATTTTGCAACCAAAAAAATACGAATCTATGGAAAGCAGATTTCATCTGTGAGAAAGCAACATTAAAACCTAGAATATTGACCATGTTAAATTTAGGCGTGAACTGCATTTATCATTCTGCTGGTTCCCCTTGTGTATCTTCTTTAAACCAGGGTCCTTTTGATTCTATCTACGCCCATCATTCTAAATGAAAAGGGCTAACCTACCCCTTTTACAAATAACTGGAGGTTTGACACCCTCAATATAGTAAGCAGAACAGTAACAAATCACTTACAACACTTGAAATACTGCTCAATACTGAACAACAGAATTCCCTTTGAACTACTCTTTTTTATCCCTCTTGACAATTCATCTAACAGAAAGAATCACCTTAACCAAAGTAGTTTTAACTTAACGTAAATTACTCAAATGAAAATCTGGCAAAAGTCAATTTGCCCAGAATGATATTCATGAGTTTTTCAACCTTTCCATGTCCCTGATGGTGACGATGTCGTTTTAAATTCGTTTCATCTAAACAGATTTAAATCTAATTTTGTCCACGATGTTACAGGATAAAAGCTCAAGAAATCTCCATGGCCCAACATCAAAGAACTATCTGAAAATGTCACTGAATATTATTACTATTGCAAAATAATTTCTCTCTTTCTAAATTGACAGAATAAGACTGAAAATTAAAACGTAAGTGCTAATGCAAACTTTAGCATAAATGATTTTTGAAAATAAAATAAAATGTCACAATTATGTTCCAAAAGGTCTATCATTGAATACTGTCAGATTTGATGACATGTCAAAAATCATTTTCCACTATTTCAACTTAAAACATTATTTATAATTTTCTTAACAAGGAATTTATCATTCATTTCAAACAAGTAGCTGTACTTTTAAACATATATAATTCCTAATGGATAATATGAAAAAAGTCTTATATAATGCATTTCATTTCAATAAAAGATAGGTTGCCAGGCAACGAAACATACGCCCACAGCAGCTAAATCGTCCGGGCAGTCAACAAGAGTTGTCGCATATTTTTACTTTTTTCGGTAATGAAACATTTATAACACACTAAAATCTGATTAAGAGCAACAACTCAGAAAACCATTAGAATTTGTTTGGTTTTTATAAAGTTCTGCCCCATGCTAACGTTTTGTATACAAAACTTTTAATACTGTATCATGAATTTAGCTGTTCCAAGTCATAAAAATTCATTGAAAATCAATATACTTGTTCGTCTAAAGATCTTCAACTCTGTGTATCAATCTGCAGTCAATCGGATATTAACTTTGGCCTCTAGAGCGTCCACAAGATTTTTCAAAGTGATCAAGGGCCATAACTTTGGCAGTAATTATCAGAAATCTTTGAAAATCAATAGGATTCTTCGCCTCGTGACCTCAAACACTGTATAAATTTAAAGTCAATCAGATATTAACTTTAGCCTTTAGAGCATCCACAAGGTTTTTTGAAGTGATCAAGGGCCATAACTCTGGTAGTAATTATCGAAAATCACTGAAAATGAATAGACTTCTTCGTCTCATGACCTTAAACACTGTGTATAAATTTTAAGTCAATCGGATATTAACTTTAGACTCTAGAGCATCCACAAGATTTTTTGAAGTGATCAAGGGCCATAACTCTGGCAGTAATTATCGTAAATTGCTGAAAATCAATAGGATTCTTCGTCTCATGACCTTAAACACTGTGTATAAATTTAAAGTCAATTGGATATTAACTTTGGCCTCTAGAGCGTCCACAAGATTTTTTGAAGTGATCAAGGGCCATAACTCTGGCAGTAATTATCAGAAATCGCTGAAAATCAATAGGCTTCTTCGTCTCATGGCCTTAAACACTGTATATAAATTTAAAGTCAATCGGATATTAACTTTAGCCTCTAGAGCGTCCACAAGCAATTGTGGACGCCGGACCGACGGACGGGGGCGACGACAATATACGACCACATTTCAATGTGGGCGTATAAAAATCAATATCACTTTTTTATTATGTCAAATCTGTTTGATTCAAAATAACTATTTAATTAAAGGTGAAGACCAGTTGTTTCTCTATATTTATTCATTATCTAGTTTTGAAACAGTTCCAGTCAGCTGAGTACAAATTATTTAGTTTTTAATTTAAAAAAAAAAATGAACACACTGGCTGTGGTGTTATGTAACTGTCATCCACTGTATACAAACAAAGCAGCGCAAGTGCTATAAGCATGAGTTATCATTGTTCGTTTCAAGGACGTTTCTAGTGTATTCAATTCACATGTAAAGCAACATATTTACAGATTTCAAAGATGAGCTGTTATAAAGCAGACACAAATGGCTTTGTTTATAAACAATATGACAGTCACCCTATGTCTCCTTTCCTAAATATCTCCTACATGTGTCTTGATCTTTTAAAACAGGTTGGGGCTGATTTCACATACAATTTCTATTGGGGGAGGCCCGGGCCTGGGACTTATATAATTAGAATTATGAGGGTACTTCTAGTTCTACAGCCTTTATTTATTAGTTTTATTTTGTCAGATACATACTGAGTCACTTGTCAGTAATGTATATTATCTATCTGTAGGTATAAATAATTAAACAACAAGCAGTTTAATATCCATCATTAATCTCTGTATAAAACAATAAAAATACTTCAGACCATCATCATTACTACTAGCCCCCTCTTCAATAACCCATCAACACTATTTTTACATCTACTCCGGGACTACTTCTTACCCAGTCACCCGACCATCAAGCACGGAACTAAATTGGTATTAATGTGCATTTGGGGAATATTTTTAGAATTTTCTTTTAAATCAAATCACACAGATGAAGTTATAGCTCAGATCAAGATTAATATGGTACAGTGAATTGGATTCGCATGGCATTTTATATCTGTTTTGCGGAAACATATTTCCATTTAACAAGATTATACAGATTTCCTACAACATGCTTGATCAGTTCTAGTTCAAATGGCAGACAGTGCTTCCACTACATTGATCATTTGATCAAAAAAGGTAAAAAATAAATCCCTCAAAGAAACGACTTAGAAAAAATAAATAAGTTTACAGTCAATCTAATAGATATTGAAAATAGTGCTAAGTAGTATTTAGAAAATTTGCTGTTAATGTTCCATCAATTTTCAGAAATTACTGAATTGTTGCATGGCACATTTTACAAATATAGGAAGCCAGGCAATGAAGCATGTACACCAAAAACAGCTAACTTGTCCAAGCAGTCCTGAAGGCAAAATTTTTAGAATAGATGGTATAATATGACTGCTGAAACTTAATAGATTTCTTTGTTTCACTAATTTGAATAATGTACATAAATTTCATACAGATTGGATGATAATGTGGGCGGATAAAACTGATATTTAAATTTAACTTACCTCTCTGTTTCCAGCTTTACGACGTTTTAAAAATGGTCTGAAATCGTCTCCATATCTTACAAAATAGTAATAAGAAACTAGTCTGTCTAAAGGATCTCGAACTATGTTTATGTAAATGGGCTTTTTTATTATTCCAAACCTGAAAATACAAACATTATATTATTTATATTTTACATTATTTTTTCTTAAAAACGACAATATTATAAAAACACTTGTCGAAACGTTGTGCTATATATGTACAAACCAGTAATTCTTTTCCACATAAATTATGTTTTTTATTGTACTCAATCACTAAATGTCACTCATTATGAATAAGTTGTGCTTTTATGGGTAATGATTTATTTAGGATATAGATCAGACAATTTGTTAGTGATGACCATTTCTAATTATGCTGATTCCCAGCTCTGCATGTGTTACAAGGTTACTTTGAAAAAAAATATGTTAATGAATAATTTGTGCCTATTATTTATTTCAACTGGTTTACGTCTTCAATTTAATTAATAGAAGATTTACTATTATAAGCAAGCTAGATTTCCAATCAACCCTTCAATTCCCAAATCAGACTTACATGTTACACATAAATAAAAATATTTACATTCAAACTTCTATCCATTTTATTAAATTAATGATGATCATTTAATATTCACCATTTAAGAATTCAAACAAATTTTAATAATGATTTATTTTAATTTTTCAGACAGATATAATTTAGTATACTTGAGCAAACAGCATATATTTTTGTTTGTCTTTAATAAAATCAATGGAGTTATCTGATCTGTCTGACTATCTAGATATAAGTTACTAAAGGATGCGAAACTAATAGTCATTCCAATCATTATTATAAATTGCAAACAATAATGATATTAAAGTTTATGGATGGGCGCCAAATAGAAATTGCTAATCATAGGTTTTTGTCTACATTGTTTCTTAATAAACTTGAAGAAAACTTTGGCAAGAGAAAAAAGCTAGATTCATCAAATACTGGCACACAACAGTGAGCAAATAGTTTGAGACTAATGCCGGTAAACTGTATGACGAATGGTCATATGTAGTTGACTATTTTAATAGTTAAGAAATATTCATTAAGACTGCATCTCTTTATTCTTTACCTGACCAGCTTAACACAGTTTATAGTTATCTATCAATGAACCATAATTTAATCCAATCATTTCATGTGAAAGGTTTAGTATTTAATTCTTTAATTAAATTATATGTCTCTTTGCTTTGCAACTCCTTGAGTATAAGTTTGTTGTAATTTTAATTGTTTGTACCAACATATTAATCTTAGAAAAAGTGATTTGGCTTGGAGTAAAACTATATCTAGATGGGAATCATTATCTTTCGTAGGTTGAGATCAGCTTATAGTATTATAGTATTTTGGAAATGAAATAATATTCCCAGATCCATTTCCAGTATCTGTAATCATTCCCAAGATTACAAGTCAACTGTGAACAGAGTCGTATCATAACAAACTTGACATAGTGACAGTATCAACAAATGATATAAGGCTTGAACCATCACTTTTCCATAATTAAATGATTTTTATATCCTTATTGTTAATTTCACACACCTGTATTTTTATTTGAAACATGATATTTTCAGTAGCTTCACCTTACGAAATCTAAGCCCAAAGCTTCATCTAATTAAATGACATATGACCAAGGATGCCAACAATCTTTTGTAGAACACTTATCCTTATTTTCCTTGATGATTTTTGTTGTGCCCAGAAATAGGTCATATCTCTACAATTAACATACTAGATTGAACTCGTCTTGCACAATCCTACTGGTACCCAATTACAGATTGAAATACTGGTATAAAGTAACTTATTCAAATATTCAAAACCCAGGTCTACTAAGAGTAAGAATAGCTTGTTATAAACTGCTGTGCTGTTTTGTCTGTGTTTGTGTTACAGCCTGTTGTTTATTGAATAACATGACATGGGTTAATGTGCTTATTGTATGATAAAAACCATTAAACACAATTTACATCATAAAAATCTAATTGATTATTTATTACATAGGTATACATCAAATATATACACAATTTACTTATTCTGTTTCATGGCTATTTTCAGAGTAGAAAATACTCCTTAGTAATCAAAATTTAGACAAATGGTCAATACAAATAAAAAGAGTTTTAAGACAATCACACAATAGATTCTATTTAGAGTACCTAAGAAAGTTGCCCATACAAGACTGTAGTAGTTTTCTGCAGAGGTGGGAACATGCCATGGGACCTTGATTCTGATTCGCAAGTTATCGCACCTCTAGTTTGAGTCATGAAACCACATAAAATCAAAATGTCTTGTTTGTCTGTGGGGTTGTGATTTAGAGACAGGGTAATCAGTTGATTAAGTTGCTGGATCTGACCGATGGTTTGGTCAATTTATCTGCTACGGCAATCAATCGTCCAAACAAGCAATTATTCTCTTGTAGTGGACAAGAGAAAAGCTAATTTTCAAGGAAGATGAATAGAACATCGATAGTTTATTGACGATGGCTGGCTTGTTACAGATCTAGAGATATTTGCGGTGGTATAAATATGGCTTTTGATGAGTGTAGAGGGCAGAACATCATCTCATCCATACCACAAATACATCATTCTGACTAAAAACTCCCCAATTAATCCCCCCCCCCCAAAACACAGGAAAAGATAGTCATTATATTGATTAATGGTTTGGTCAAGTAACTAAAAGAATATTTGTTTTGGCAGGTTTTTTGTTGTCAATGCAAGATAAATTTAATGTTCTCAGCTGTTAATTATAAGATAAAAAGAAAGATGCTCTATTAGCATAAGTTATTTATTTTGTTAATTTAGACAATTAAAACGACCACATTTCAAAGTGGGAGTGTAAAAAACATAGATCTAAATAAAACCTGGGTCTTGATGGTTACAGATAGAAATGAGTTACTGATAGACAATTAGCATAAAATAAAAATGGCAGCATGTAAACCATAGATGGTCAAAGCTTACTTTAAATGGAGTGATTTTCAACATTTGTTTTAACAGACTACTTTTTTTATTGCAAGAAATGGTCAAGTCTCCATTTAGGATAGCATTAACAGCCTCTAAAAGAATTTACAAGAAATTTAAACTTCTCAAACTTGATTTAGAATATAGTTCCATCATTCCCCAGACATCATCAAGGTTTCAGACACTGTAAATCAAATCACTGGAACTTTCAGGAATTATCTAATAACTTAAGTCTAAAACTCTTTAATTATACATTAGCTTTAACTAGTGAAGTCTGAAAAACAAATGACCTAAAATAGTTATTCAATTGGCCAAGAGAAACTATTTGAAAGAAAAGTTGCAAGTACAAAATAAACAACCAAGTACCTAATTTCTAACCTACACGTTTTGGTCTAATCATCTAATAACTATTTATGGAATACTTTTCAGCTCTTGATTTAAAATTGTTATATACATAATAAGCAGTAAAAGAAACTTCAGGTTGGTATGTTACTCTGAATTGACGCATCGCATAAAACTTGCCAAATGTTTTTATTGTATATTTGTGACATCTCCAACTTTACCTGAGCAATAAATAAGGCTCCTTCCCAATCGGCTATTAACTTTAGCCTCTAGAACGTCCACAAGCAATTGTGGACGCCAGACTACCGGACGGACGGAGGTGACGACAATATACAACCACATTTCAATGTGGGCGTATAAAAAGTGTGTACAAATTTAAAGTCAATCGGATATTGATTTTAGCCTTTAGAGCGTCCACCAGATTTTTCAAAGTGGTCAAGGACCATAACTCTGGCAGTAATTATTGGAAATCGGTGAAAAATCTGTGTAAAAATTTAAAGTCAATCGGATATTAACTTTAGCACAGACAGACAGGCACAGACAGACAGGGGCGACGACAATATACGACCACATTTCAATGTGGGCGTATAAAAATCATAGATCTTTGGTCAACAGCTTATAAATATATCAATTCAAAGGCCATCCATGTTCATTATCTAAAGACCAGAGCCAAAGGTTCAACGGTTCAGAGTTCAAGGGTCACTGATTAAATAAACAAATAAAGTGACCATTAGATGTAAGTAAGAAGGCAAACACTGTCTATATGTTATTTAGTATTAATTAGTGAGCTGTGTGGACAGATTCCCTGATCCTTAAATCAAATAACAATATACAATGTTTAAACTTAAATGCTAATATTAATTACCAACTAGTGTTGATATGTCCATTGATCCACCTAAGATCAAACAAAAATAAACAAACTCTACTCATGTACATTAATTAAATTTCCCACAATCTAATCCAATATCATGATCTGGGTCAGATTAAATTTAAATATTGAGAACTTTGTCCACCAAAAGGCAGGATTAGTTTTAATTCCATGTGCCTAATTGAGGACATTTTTGACAGTGGGGATCATTTTGGGGAAGGGTTGTCACATATTTATTTTTTTGTTGATAATGAAAACATTTACAACACATTAAAATCTGATTAAGAGTAACAACCCACTAAGTAATTATCAGTAGCAGATTATAACGGTGACACCAGAAGAGGCAACAGTCCCTGAGTAAGGCAGATGTGCCACACGATTATTCATCAGTGCTGTTATGCACAGGCCAAGTTCTCATTTGTTTTCTTGTCTTTGTTCAACGCACTGCATTGGATGCACATGCAGTGCGCAGAATTCGGCATCTGCACATTCGTTAGGATGTGAGTGTTGATATCAACATTCCTCAATATATATTGTGCTATCAGGCCCCAGAATCAATTTAGTTAATAGTATATAGACAGATGTTTTTTATTATTACTTGCAATGTCTGTGTATTTGATGTGTATCTTGTCCGCAGGTTTGTCTTATGGGTGTTTGGTACCATCATCTTGCATTTATTATTAGCTATCAAGGTGACCAAACTGTAGCGGACAGCATTCTTCTTCCTCTCTAGTTTGAATCGCGAATCCCCTGCATTCCACTAAGAGTCATATTAAGATTGTCTCTACACATCTAGACTACAGGTAATGTGAGGCCCCCCAAGTAATTTATTCAAAATTTTTACAAGGCTAAGATTAAGAACAATTAAAATTGAAACATTTATTTTCCTTAATTTCTTTCAAACAAATTTATCCAACAATTGAAATAACTTTTCACTTAATCTCTGGAGGCCC